CCCCAGGGGGGATGGCCATGCTGCAATCACTTCTCCTCCATTCTCCTCTCGGGATCTAGGGCATGCACGCACACACGCTCGGCATGAGAAAGTTGTACTTCTTTTATGATCAGTTTTAATAAAAGTGCTGCATGCTTATGAACATTTAATGAAAAGCAGATATTATTCTAAGATACCTTTCACTTGTCATATTAGCAAACATATCACATTCCTGCCCAGGTCAGCAGTGTCATGGAAGCTGAGAAAATCTTTAAGGACTATAAAGGTAAATAATAATTTGATAATTGATATTCAAATGATAATTTGAATTAAGATGAAAGTTATAGGTCTCTGTAAATGCACAGTCACTGAACTGTACTCTTGAGAGAATTCAGTGGCATGTGAATTATATCTCAACAGTATTTTCAAAATGCTTAAAATACAGATTATTTGACACATCAATTTCACTACTATGAATGCATCTTCCAGAACATGTTTTCTTACCTGATAAAAGGAAATTATAAAATGATATAGAATCAAATAATTATAACTGTTTGCCTTTTAAAATAAATTTGTAGAAGAAAAGATATAAAATTTCACTTTTAAAAATAGAATTCACAGCAAATAGAAGCACAAATCATCTGCACCATCCAATTTCATTCTACATACAATCAACAGGTCATATTAGAGAGACTGGATTAAAACAAAGGGAGTGTGAAATCTCACTAAATTAAGAGACAATGCCCAAACTCATCCAGATCTTACTTTGATTGCTTTCAGTTCTTGAGCTGTTTTGTCTTCTTCCAGAACTGCCCTGACCTTTTGTCCAATACTTAGAGCAGTATTCTCAGTGACAACATCAAAAGTGAAGTAGATCCACCGATCAATGAAGCCATAATTACCATATAAATGTGTTACAACTCCCTGTATATGCTTCAAATGGGTGATAGCTATGAGATAGGCAAACAAAGGTTACATTAGTAATCTGATGTCCCCCAAACAAAAAGAAATCCTTCACTGACCATCTGTGGAATGCTGGGAACATTTCTGAAATTCTCTGTTACTGCTTTCACCTGTCAAACTAGGACAGGTGACAATTTCTCAATAGGATTGTTGTGACTATGGAATCAAACCTGCACAAATTAGAGTGTAAAGGTTACTGGATATCATCACATCTGCATATGAGAATGTTTAAGCTTTCACTATTATTACCTGCCATCATTTTCACCAACATAAGTGACATGACCTACAGATTCTCGATCTTATCTTCCCAGACAGAGCACAAAGATGTATCTGGAGATTTAGATTTAGCCCCAAACCATATCTAAATTGTTCTTTAAAAGAAAAAAAAATAATTTGCACAAGAAAATCTGCTGATATACAGCATCTGACTGTAGCAGTCCACCTACACAAAGTCCCCTGCACTCCAGATATGTGACTCGTCCACTTGGTTTCAAATGCGTGCCTGTCTGGGATACAAAACCAAATTGAACCTCAGATTAGGGAACATTGTTGCTCCCTTGTTAAGATGAAAAGGGCAGGAGTTGCACAAGGCCTGTGGGGTATGCATGGCTTTCTCAGCCAGCACCTTCCCAACTTGGACTAAGGAAGTGCATGAGCCTTTCACGAATGGCAGCCTAACTATTGGGCACTGGGAGATTTGGGGACGCCCTACTCCCATGGATCCATGCACAAACTATACACGAGATGGATCCACTGCTCACCACCTACCCACCCACCCACCACCACCCCTTGTCCTGGTCCCCGTGCACTGAGTGTGTGACACCACAGCCCGCTGATAAGCGGTCAAAGAAGCCCCCTGCGGAGGCTCCTTGCGTCGGTGACTAAGGGACATACAGAGGGGTACCTTGCTGGAGCTCGGCCTGCTGGGAGTGCTGCTCCTGGGCGGGGTCTGCCCTCCTCTGGAAGAAGGCCAAGGCTCGTCTCAGAAGCCTGAGCATGGTGTCCTCGTCACCACAGACAGACCTGGGCACTGCGCGAGACGTGAAGCTCGACGTCGGCCTTTGCCGGCCTTCTCTGGTCAGAGCTGCCGGGGGCGAGCGACCTCCTGCTTCTGTCTCTCGGCGTGCCAGGTGAGCCCCAAGCACTAGTGAACCGTTCCAGAGGAGGGAACCTCCGGGAGAGCCCCTGTACACCTCCTGGACGCACGGGGACCCAGCGCCCCACCACGTTCTCGAGGCCAAGAAAATGGCGCCCGCGGCCCTGAGGGGAGGAGCGTGTGTCTCCACGCCCCCTGCCTCCTATTGGTGCGGGCCTTGCGCGTGCTCGTGCTGCAGCCCCATTGGCTGCTGGCAGGAGGGCCAGCTGTGCGAAAGCGCGTGTTCAGGGAGCAGAGCATGATGGGTACATCGGTGTTCTGGGGTGGCACTGCCATGCTGGCTTTCCTGTGGTCAGTAGGAGACAGGGAGTTGGACCCATGGCTTCTCCCATCAATGCTCAGGGTTCCACTGGGGTAGCCTCATGAAGGTGGCTTGGGGGGTCTGGCTTTGCGTGTGCTGAGGTACAGGCCCTCTCCTCTGAGGAACCCGGTCAGGACGCACATTGCTCCAGCCACAGGCCATGTTCCTGAGGCCAAGATCATGGTGCCCCAGCATTGATTGCAGGAGCTGTGTGTTTCCACACCCACCGTCCTCTATTGGCTGGAGGAGCACATGCGCCCACTTGCCGCATTCCCATTTGCTTATGGCAGTAGGGGGCATGCCTTGCAGAAGCCGGTGAAAAGCGGTGACAGTTTGAGAGCTCCGTTATCGTTCTCTGGGTGGGGGTGGGGGTGGCTTGTTGCTTCTCCTGTGTCTGCTGGTTGAGGACACATGTAGCTCCACCTGTGAACTCTGAGGCCATCACTAGTGCAGCCTCAGGAGTGACTTGGGAACTTGGGCCCTGTGTGTCCTGAGGGGGTACATGGTATCTTCTATGAAGTTCCCTCAGGGTTGCACAATAGCTGTTGGGCACATGTCTCTGCTGTGTCTGCTGCTGATGGGCAGATTCTGCCCTCTTCCAGAACATGGATACAACCTTTCTCAGAATCCTGAGCTTGGTGTCCTCATCACCACAGGCCTGGGCAAAGCTCAGCAGAGTGGAAGTACGAGGACTGCATTGAGGGTCCCCCTTTGGTTACAGTGGCCTCTCAAGAGCAGCCTCTCCTGCTTCTCTTCCTCACAATAACGAGATGGGACTCAAGTGCAAAGGAGCCAGCCCTGAGGAGATCCAGCTTGCCAGGGCCACCCCAGAAGCTCCAACGTATCTATCATTTTCTTACTCCCTAGTGCAGTCTTTCTAGTTCCAATCCCTCTTTGCCTCTATCCAATGGGGATACAGCATTGAGTGCACATGCTCCTGCAGTCACTAGAGGTATCTATAGTGATCAGAGTGGTAATGGGGCTTCAGGCTGTGTGGGGCCCCACAGGGGCCTCTCTTAAGTTTTTTTTCTTTTCTTTTTTTTTTTTTCTAAAGGTTTTTCCATAGGGCATTTGCCCTTGCCAGAAAAAGAGATAGAGAAAAATCAGTTCCCTGGGGGGATGATCACGCTACAATCTCTTCTTTCTCCACTCGGGATTTTAAGCATGCAATCACATGAGACTGGCCTATTTTTCAAGCCTCTGACCTGGGATTCAACTTGTATAGTCAGCCTTTGGCATCCAACTGCTTTAGGAATTCTGCCATCTGCTGGCCCCAGATCAATGCTTCCCTAAAGAGAGAGAGAGAAAGAAAGTGATCACTCCCCAGGGTTGATGGCCATGCTTCAATCCCTTCTCTTCCATTCTGTTCTTAGGATTTGGGGCACTCATGTACATGCACCTGGTGTGAGTTTCAAGATTCTGGAACTGGTATTCAGAATGCACAGTCGGCCATGCAGCATCCAGCTGTCTTAAACAACATGCCATCTGCTGGACCCAGATCACTAGAAACTGTGAGAGATCTGTGACTCATGCTTATGGAAGTGCTTGCTTTTATAACAGAGAAGGACATGATGCCTGAGCAAGTGCCTGCCACACGCTAGAATCCTTATGAATCATTATATTGCATAAAGATTCCACATAACTGTGTCACCGACATCTTTCCTTTATCACTTTTTCAAATTTTAGAGGTAGATTGTAAAGTCATCCAGAGAGACTGAAGCTCTTATGTGTTACAATTTACCGACTTCATATATATTTTGTAACACTGCAGTAGTGCCAAATATTCTGGACTTCAGGAAATGTCTCAGAGTAGGTAATGTTATTCCAAACCCTGGATCTGGTCATGAAATTTAGTGACTGAATCTATAATTCTCTTTCTCATGCTCCATTGCCTGCTCCAGTAATTACCACCACCTCTGAAATATCCAAGCAAGTACATTGAGTGTCTCCGTGCATGTGCTCCCAGGATGAGTTCACAAAGCTTAGTATGACCAGGGAACTGTAAGTTATATGTACACCATAATCTCCATAATTCTCATTTCACATTGAGAGTTCCAGGGCCCATGTAGACATAGCATGAGCCAATGAAGGATCAAGACCGAAGGATGTCCAATGACTTCAGGGTCATTTTTTAAACTCTCCCAAAGCATGTCATCCTCCTCTTAGAGTCATATTTTTCATACCTAAAGTGAGTGTTAGGAGAACACTGTCCTCTGTGTATCTTGTTTGTTACAGAGGTTGTGATGAAGGAAAGTAAACAGGTCATTTCATGTTAAGTGGTGTGGGTCTCTGAATGAGTGAGGTCGGTGACTGTGTTGAATAAAAAGGATTTGCAATAAAAATAATCAAAAGTCATATAGCCTTTTCAAGCACGTATACAAAGTGCATTAAAAATCCTAACGAAGGGCCACTCCCACATGGCCTACTATGATTTGAGTCCTGGACTCAGTGGCTTGAAACTCATGCTGGGTGCATGAGCATGCATCCCCCAATTACCAGGAGGAGTATGGAGGCTAAAAGATTGTGGCATAGTCAGTCCCCCTGGGCGTTGTGATTTCTCACTTTCCTTCTCTCGTCTCTCTCTCGCACTCCAGAGAGCTCACTCACTGTAAGACAAAAACCTCTACAAAAAAAACTAAAGTAAAATCTTGATTTTTCTGTCATATAAATGAACAAGAGGAAATATGAGTGTTAATCCATACAAACTTTTTTATTGGTTGAGTTTTATTCAATAAAATGAACTACAGCCTGGAATATAATTTCATTGTTTGGACTTTGTAGAAATGGATGCTTTTCAGCTGGTTTGGTTTCACTCTTTTTCCTTCAATTAGGACTCATGTGGTGAGCTTCTAAGGAGGAATGAAACACTCTAACACATTAAGATTCACTTTTTTGGGGAGAGGTTTTTGGTGTAGTGTGCATGTGCTTGCCATAAAGACAGAGAGAGAGAGAAAGCAAGAAATCACACCCCAGGGGGATGGCCATGGCCTTCTCTCCATTCTCCTCTCAGGATTTTGGGCATTGACATACAAGCGCTCGGCGTGAGTTTAAGCCACTGGGTCCAGGACTCAAACAGCGGTTGACTACATGGGAGTCCAGCGACATAGCCATTATGCCAACTGCTGGTCCCTAAGATTTACGTTTTATTTATTTATTTTCATTGTACATTTTGCCAGTTTTATTGGGCTATAATTAACAATATAAGTTGTACATATTTTAAGCATACATCATCCTGATTGATATATGTCTACATTATTAAAAGTTGCCCCAATTTAGATAATTAACACCTAGATCACCTCACATAGTTTACCTTTTCATGATTTTGTGATGAAAATACTTAAAATCTCCTCTCTTAGAAAATATCCAATATAACTACACAATTACTAATGATAATCACCATACCAGGGCAGGCAATTGATGTGGTGGTTAAGGACGCTGGCCTCCCACATGGTTGACTGTGATTCGAGTCCTGGACCCATTGGCTTGCTTTCTCACTTTCTCTCTCTCTCTCTCTGTCCCTCTCTGGTAAAATTAAAATAAGTAAATAAAATAAAGTTCAATTAAATAATTTTAAAAAATTAACACACTGAAAGTCAGATCCTCGGGGTTGGCAAGTGGCATGGAGGTTAAGGGCGCTGGACTCCCACATGGCTGACCACGGTTCAAGTCTCAGACTTGCTTTCTCACTTCCTTTCTCTCTCTCTCTGTCTCTCTCTGATCAAACTGGAAAATAACAATGATAATAAATAAAGTTAAATAAAAATAATTCTTTTTTTTTTTTAAAGTCAGATCCTCACAACATATTATAACTACAACTTGGTGCCCTTTGACCAACATCTCCCCATTGCCACCATTATCCAGCTTCTTGTAACCACTGCTCTATTCTCCAACTCTAAGGATTCAACCCATATTTATATTGGTTTATTTTTAAGGTTGTCCATATAGGTGATATACAGCATTTGTTTTTCTGTATCTGGCTCATTTTGCTGAATATAATATCCCCCAGGTTCATCCATGTTGTATAAATGGCAAGATTTCCTTCTTTTTATGTTTGGGTGATATTCCATCCTATACATCTCTTACATTTTTCATCATCCATTTATCTATGGATGGACCTTTAGGTCATTTCTATGTCCTGACTGTTGGGAATAATTCTGCAGTGAGTATGAGAGTATAGATATTTCTTTGACATTCTCTTCTTCCATTGGATATATATCCAGTAGTGGGATTGCTGGATATTATGATAGCCTTATTTAACTTTCATGAACAATCTCCACACTGTATTCTGTACTGAGAGTACCAATTTGTGATCCCACCAACATTGTAGAAGGATTTCTTATTCTCCATATCATTCATTAGCCTTGAGGGTATACTGGAGTTGCTTCAATATTGTCTCAGACATTTTCATGTATATGGTATATACTGCCACCCAATTGTGGGGATGCTTTAATGTACATACATTGTTTACAAAGAGATTTTTGGTGACTGTTTAAAGTCAATTAAAGTCACCTTTTATATTCTTAATGTGATTCTGTCACGCACAAAAAAATATAGGTGCAAGACCCCTAGTGAAACAGATGAGATATAACCTAAACTCCTTAAATGTTACTTCAGAACATGACTCACTCCAGTATACACCCCTTCCAAAATCAATACGAAAAAAAAAATGTGTATTTTTTTTTTAGAGAGGTTTTTGCCATAGGGCACGTGCACTCGCCAGAAAGGGAGAGGGAGAGAGAGAGAGACAGACAGAAAGCAAGAAATCACCCCCCAGGGGAGATGGCCACACCACAATCCCTTCTCCTCCATTCTCCTCTCAGGATCTTGGGCACACATGCACAAGTGCCTGGTTTGAGTTTAAGCCACTAGGTCTGGGACTCGAACTGCGGTTGACTACATGCAAGTCCAGTGACATGGCCATTACGCCAACTCCCCAAAAATGTGCATTTTGACATTATTTAGATAAGTCATTCTTCATTCAGTACCACACAGACAGGTTTACTATAAACTCTCAGTGCTAGAGCTTCCAAGTAGATCTGGCCTCAGTCTCTCTCTCTCTCTTTTAATTGCAGTCTGAAAACAGCCGCTCTTTATTTACTGACAAGATTACAAAAATAATCATGGTGGATAACTTAATTCATCCTTCTAATAAGTCTGCTGATCTGGTCTTCCCTGTTGCCAGCATGTCCACCTTCTACAAAATGGGTGGTCTTTTTCTTCATTCCACCTCAAGGAGAAGATAATTTGAAGGGCCACAGGAAATTATTTGCTTCTTTGAAGCATTTTCCAACAGTATAGATTTTATGAATCAGATCCTCCATGCAGATGATGCCAAATTTACCAAGAGATCGAGCAATCAAAGTTATCTGTCAAAGTGATTCACTTCTTATTGATTTTGCCGTAACCACACTTGTAGATCAGTTCATTTACTGACTTCAGGTTCGGGTACTCCCATGAAATACATGGTTCCACAATTCTCAGCATGTTAATTGAGGCCTGGTTGAGCTTAACAAAGGTGCCATTGAAGATCTGGCGGATTTTTTTTTTTTTTTTGGAGAGGTTTTTGCTATAGGGCACGTGAGCTCGTCAGACAGACAGAGAGAGACAGAGAGACAGAAAGCGAGAAATCACCCCCCAGGGGGTATGGCCACGCCGCAATCCCTTCTCCTCCGTTCTCCTCTCAGGATCTTGGGCACGCACGCACACGCACCCGACGTGAGTTTTAAGCCACCGGGTCCCAGACATGAACTGCGGTCGACTACGTGGGAGTCCAGCGACATAGCCATTACGCTAACTACTGGTCCCAAGATCTGGTGAATTTGAAGCTGCTACACCTTTTGAACCTTTGGGGTCACTGCAGTGATACCTCTGATCCTGATGACAAATGCCAATTTGGGTTCTGCAGATACATAGAAGTTGCCAGCTTTTCTTGCCATCCTGGCCATGTGAATCTCATTTCTGTACATCAGCCTATGTTACTTAACATGCTTAGCTTTTTCATAGATAAGCTTCTCCCTTGCCTTTTTTTTTTTTTTGGAGAGATTTTCACAGTAGGGCGCCTGCGCTCGCCAGACAGAGAAAGACAAAGAGACAGAAAGCGAGAAATCACCCCCCAGGGGGGATGGTCACGCCGCAATCCCTTCTCCTCCATTCTCCTCTCGGGATCTTGGGCACGCACGCACACGCGTCCGGTGTGAGTTTTAAGCCACCAGGTCCAGGACACAAACCACGGTCTACGACGTGGGAGTCCAGCGACATAGCCATTACACTAACTGCTGGTTCCCCTCCCTTGCCTTTAAAAGCATCGCAAAAGATTTTTCTCAGGTGCTTGATCTTCAGCTCAGCAAAATTCCTTTGCTTTTTCTAAGGGTTTCTGGCACAGCAGGAGCCTTTTTCTTGTTTTCTGCCACAGCAGGAACCTTTTCTTCTCTTGAATGCTCCCCATGGTTCCAGCCAGAGAAGAGGAGCCAGCCTCTCTCTTGAGCCCATATTGTTTGTGGAAGCTTGTTTTTTTTTGTTGTTTGTTTTTGTTTTTCCCTCAGATCTATTTCTTTCACTTATTGGAAAGAGAACCCTTATCCTGAAGTGTTTGCTAAATGAGATAGAAGAGGAGGAGAAGGGGGTTTCCTGACAGACTGTTTACTGGTTACTTCTCCAAATGATTGTCCTCCACTAAGATATACTATGGTAAACTCCAGTACCAGCCTCCTTTTTCCTTTTTTTTTTTTTTTTTTATTTTTTTCTAGATAGGGTGTGTGCACTCACTGAGAGAGACAGAGAGAAAGTGAGACAGAAAGTGAGAGGGAAAGTGATAAATCTTTCCAAGGGGGGGATGGTCACACCACATTCTATCCTACTCTTTTCTCCTCCTGGGATTTTGGGCATGCATACCACATTCTATCCTTCTCTTTTCTCCTCCTGGGATTTTGGGCATGCACGTACATGAGCCCAGTGTGACATGATGTTCCTCATGCATCTCAAGCTTACTACACCATAACTTGCACATTCTGAATGCACTTAGCACTTACTTCCGCCCCAATATTCTCCATCTACTGCCATCATGGGTTAACATAATGTGCCTGCCGTTACCCTTATCTCCCTTGAGGTTCTTTATGCACTCATCCATTTGTCAGTGTACCGTCAATTATTTCAAAATGTAATTGTACACTCACTGCTACCACCTCAATCAAATTGGGTAAAAAAAAGTCTGTAAAGTGCCTGTTCAAGAACACGTATCTCCTTTTCTTCACTGAACTTATCTCTAAGTCAATGAAGGACCATCTATCTATATATCAGAATTTCTGAAACCTACCCACAATATGCTATTTAGAAAATCTTCTGGACATCATTGGAGCCCCAGAGACTAATTTTGGCAGATCCCCATTTTTTCAACCCTCTTTTCCATAGGTGGGAAATAGGTTTTTAACTAGAGCCACTGCCTTCTGATCCCAGTGTCCTAGCACCATGGGCTTTTCTAAAATTCTCAGAAAGTGGGGAGCTGCATCTGAATGAAAACTTTCATAGGGGACCAGTAGTTAGTGTAATGGCTATGTCACTGAACTCCCATGTAGTCAATCGCAGTTCGAGTCCCAGACCTGGTGGCTTAAACTCACATCGGACGCGTGTGCATGCATGCCCAAGATCACAAGAGGAAAATGGGGAAGGGATTGTGGCGTGGCCATCCCCCCAGGGGGTGATTTCTTGCTGTTTGTCTCTCTGTCTTTCTGGTGAGCACACGGACCCTATAGCAAAATCCAAAAACCTCTCCAAAAAAAGAAAAAATAAACTTTCACAGGGACCAGAACATGCCACAGCTTCCCCTACTGACCAAGAGATTCTTTACTGGTCAGGGACCCAGGGGACATTAATAAAACCTATATTCCACTATGATCTGTACTTTTGGTTTAAGGCTATAACCTCCTGTGCTTTGAGAAGGGCTTTGCACATAAAATGGAATTTGAGGAATGAACCAATCAGTGAAAATGTATTCTATAAAATAATCATTTCTCACATACCTATAAAGTCTAAAAGTAACCACTGGATGGTTAGCAATTTCTACTTGAGCTATAAACACACTTTGAAAAAAGTCTATATTCAGGGTCATGGGCATTGGGTGGGCTTATAAATACCAGGCCAGGACATGAGCCCACAGCCACGTTCCACTGATGCCCGAATATCTGAACATAGCCCATCCTCTAGATGATCAGTACATGATTAATGCCATTAGAAGCCAAGGGGTTTCAGGGAGAGTATCTGTGGGAATCTAGTACCACAGCTTCCCCTTCCTTCACCAGGCTCTCAGTTTGTTCGCCAAGTGAGGTCTGCACATGGGCTACCCCTCCCCCACAAAGTGCTTCAACGAGACTCAGGTGCAACACATTTGGAAATATTTTCATTTAGAAACTCAACTGAGTATTAATGAGCTGTTCAACCATTTTATCTGTAGGGAACCCATGATGAATGAACCACAGGTGAACTTGTGCTGGTCACATCATACATTTATTAAATTTCATAGCATTTACCCTGACCATAGTTGTGCCAGTACTATTTGAAGTGTGTGGTGATGTGCTAATGAAAAAACATACTAAAAAACACCCTCACTTTCTGGAGTTTACATATTATCATGGACAAGAAGGAACACAGGTAAATAAGAAATACACCAAACATTAGGTGATAACAATTGATAAATACTATAAAAGAAAAAAATTAACCTATAATAGAAAATTTAAGGGAGACTCAAAATTGAAAGCAATATGTAACTATAAATCACAGCATCAACATGCTGGCCCAGCTGCCTCTGGAGAATAAGATTATGATTTTGATACCTCATTCAGGGCCATCCCATATCTGTGCTCCCACAGAATCCACTTCTTGCCATGGAAAACAAGGAATTTTAATTTCATTTCAGAGTCATTTCTTTCAGTAACGAGGCAGCGTTAGTTTCTGAATGGACAATGTAATCCTCCAGAGTGGGTTGTTTGTCTCTTTAGAAGTGTCTGGTATCTTAATTGAATTCACCATGGAGTCGTACCTAAATTTTGCTTATGATTACTAACCTAAGTTTTCAATTAAAAGAGGATATATTGCTCATAGAAAACTCATGAACGGGGAACAAGATATTTCTATAACTAATTTGGCACTGGGTTCATAGACATTGCTCTCCAAATATAGCATGACTGAATACTCCCAACTATAACAACATCAACAATGTCATATTTTTGGGGACTATATCCATCAGGAATTTTCAGAGAATCCAAGGTGAAGAAGATACTATTGTCTATCACCCCATTTCTTCCATATAGGCTGGTGATGCAGACCTGCAATGACGAATAACAGAAATGATTATTACAAAAATACAGCACTGAGACTGGCTCTGCACCTCCTCACTAGGCTCTCATCTACTGGTCACTGAATCCATACGTCTGAACACCAGCCTGGTGGTACAATGCAAAAAACAGTGATGTTCAGTAAATATGACTGTGAACAGACTCTGCCTCAGACCAAATCAGAACCTCTGGGGATGGGACCCAGAGCCCCAATCAGAGTGTCTGCTTTGAATATTACCCACAGTGATTATTAACCTTGATTTCACTTATTTTTCTACTCATTTTCAGACTGCACTACCCAAAGCACACCCAGTTTTACTGGTCAGTTCAAATTCCATATTATACTCCATTCAGTTTATTCCTAATCACCTCTTGCACACTAACTGCTTTTCTTTCTGTTCTCAGCACACCCTGATTGCATTGTTCTATCAGGTGACCTACATAATCCAGAACTTAGTGATATGGATTGTCTCCATTATTTTTGTTTCATTTTGTAAGTCCTGACTCTTCTATTTTTAATCTTTTATTAGTTTTGTCAGAATGTGTGTGCCCTCATTGCAAAGAGACAGAGTGGGAAAGTGAGAAAGCACCCCAATAGGTAATGGTCATGCCACAATCCCATCTCTGCCATTTTTCCCTCCTTTCAGAATTTTGGTCATGCATATACAAGTGTCTGGTGTGTTTTTCATGCTGGTTGTTCTGGGAATTGAACTGTGCACTTTGACATGAGGGATCCAGCTGCCTTAACCACTACCATGCTGTCTCATTCTGCCTTTTCAATGAGAAAATGGCCCCTTTTAAAAACACATATTTTATTCATTTTACAGCACAACCAATAGAACCCTAGCAACAAATATTATCACAAAAGGAAGCAGTGGAAGATACAAGTGGTAAGTCAATGTAGAAACATCTTACCTCCTCCAGATGCTTACAGAATAAGGGCTTTGCTGAGTGCACCTTGATGTTATATGGACCAGGAAGGCAGGAATACTCAACTTCTACCCAGTCACCCTTGTAAGGCATAAAATCTGAAACAGTCATAAAGAAATGTTAAAGCAATTTTATGTTAACCTCAAGTGAAGTTAAACTGCAGAAGGAATGTGAATGTTGTAATACCCTAAAATGGCTTCCGTTAGACTTAATGCATACTTTGCATACGCTTATATACACACAACTTATAAATTCTCTGTGAGAAGGGATGTTTATAATCTGTGAGGCACTGATTCTCATATACTGACTGTCCAAAGTCAAAAGGGATGCATCAAATTTCATCATAGCCATTGAATTGGGGAGCATATTCAATCCTTGCTCATGTTCACAGCTCATCAGGATGAGTAGTCAAGTTCCTAGTAAGACATAGAGTTTGAATCAGGCTACTTGTGCTCAAGTCATGCACCAGCCACTTTCTCAGTCTGCCACCTTGGTCAAGGTGATTTACCACTGAATGCTTATTTTCTTCATCTATAACATGAAAACAACCATAATATTCCTCTTAACGTACTGTTATGATGGTTAACTATTATGCTAAAAACTCATGGACTAAGGCCTGGCACATAGTAACCACGGAATAGATGCTGACTATTCACTGTGGTGGCAGTAGCACTAGTAAATACAGGGGGGGCCTTTAAGTTTTGGGAGAAACAGAATTAAAATAGGAGTGTATTTTGTTGAAAAAAACCCTTTGAAATCCATGCTCATTTTTTAGCAAGGCACATTGCCAATGAACCCTTAGAAGATCCCTAGTATTGTTACTCTAAGAACGAGTCAGTTTTTGGGCCAGCAGATGGTATGGTGGTTAAGAGTATTAGACTCCCACATGGCCTACCACGGCTTGAGTCCTGGACTTGGTGGTTTGTGTTCTCACTTTCCTTCCCTCTTTCATTCTGGCCCTCTCTGGTCAAATTAAATTAATTAATTAATTAATTAAATGAAGTTAAATAAAGTAATTCTATAGGGAAAATAGATAAATAAAGTAATTTTTTAGGAAAAAAAAGAATTAATCATTTTCACAGGTTGTCTAGTAGAGGGACGAACTCTTAAATATCTTACATTTCTAGTTATAAATATGTAGTTCCAAACACAATTTTAGAAATAAATAAAAAGTCACAGGATAACAAACTGCAAAAATGTGAAGCCACTGGAAATACCAACCATGGCAGGTGAAGTGTAAAAAGGTACAACCACTCCTGAAAAATTTCAGTATCTATAAAGCTAAACATTTTTTTAAATGGAGCTATAGGGATTGTGAAGTTTCTGGAGCAATAATGAGAGAGAGAGAGAGAGAGAGAGAGAGGAGAGGGAGGAGAGGGAGGAGAGAGAGAGAAAACGTGAGAGATGACCCTCAAAGGGGATGGCCACTCTAAAATCCCTTCTCCACTCTCCTCTCAGGATTTTTAGGCATGCACACTCATGTACCTGGCATGGGCCTTCAAGATGACAGATCCAGGATTTAGGTCAGCCATGTAGGATCCAGCTACCTTAAACATCATGCCATTGGCTGAACCCAAAGCCAAACATTTCTTTACCCTAGGCTCACTTATTGCTGAATGACACAAGACACTAAGTTGGACCCTGTTCCTCTTTCTTAACTCTTATACATTTCTTTGGATTGGCTATACAAGTTATCTCCGGCTGATAAATCCAAAATGTACTAACTCCAGCTGTAAGCAACTTCAGATTCAATAGTCCTCATGCCTGTGGAATTGTATTATATGTATTTACTATTATTTTGTGAATTGCTGCTATGCCTCACATTCACAAAATTTTCCTAATCTCAGTCTGCCTCATCTCTAATTGGAAAATCCCCTCTACCATGGCTCAAGCAAAACACTGCAGTTATCTTTGGCTCCTTTATCTACACTAAAGGTCCATGCTATTGAAAATGCTTTTATGTCTAACTTCACAAAATATCCACAATCAAATCAATCCTTAAAATGTCAGCTTCTACAACATCATCCAAGTCTCCATTAGTCTGGTCAGGAGTATTACAACTTCTCTTAACCAATTTCTTCACTCCACACTTGCCTCATACAATCTCTTCTGAACTAGCAGAGTGAATATGTTAAAATAAAATCCGGGTCAAGTCCTGGTTGTATGCATAAGAAAAGAAAAACAGCGAACTGCTTGGAGAGGCTAAGCTCATTTCTCCTTTTGTTTTATTTGCTTATTTAATTTGCTACAGGGCATGTGCACCTGCCTAAGAGACAGAGAAAAAGAGAAAGAGAAATTAAGGAAAAGTGAGAAAGGAACTCCCCCACAAGTATGATGGCCATGCCACCATCCCTTCGCCACTCTCCTCTCAAGATTGTGTGTGCAGGGACCAGCAGTTAGCATAATGCTGAACTCCCATGTAGCCGACCGTGGTTCGCGTCCTGGACCCGGTGGCTTAAACTCACACTGGATGCGTGTGGCGCAGGTGCGTGCATGCCCAAGATCCCGAGAGGAGAATGGAGGAGAAGGGACTGCGGTGTGGCCATCCCCCCGGGGGGTGATTTCTCACTTTCTATCTCTCTGTCTCTCTGTCTGGCGAGCACACGCACCCTATAGCAAAAACCTCTAAAAACAAAAGATTTGTACATGCACATACATGTACATTTGTGCATGTCTATTTGTATATTTGTGTATGACGTGTCTGGCATGTCTCTTGAGTAAATCACAAGGGATTCTTTCACCTTAACCAACATGTCACCAGCTGGCCTACTTTCTCCTTTTCTATCAAACTTTCCAACAGCAGCTTTAGGCTCAAATAGCAGGGACAAAGTACAGCTGTGAGTAAAACCAAACTATTCGATCAAATCAGCTGTTCAGCATGGGCAGAGAAACACACGCACAAAACACACACACATACACACACTCAGATACACATAAATACACAGGAAAAACTACAGGGCTATCACCAAAACTTATTCTGAAGCATTAGAGCATATTCTAAACGTTACCACATGAATGTTCAAGGTTTTTCATTGATGAGATCTTCAATATTTGTATGAATAAAAACTTTACTCAGATATCAATGACTGTACTCACACATAATATGCGATAGTAGGAGTTTTTAATAAGTTTTCCTCTTTGTCCTTATATTGTAGTCTATTTACAATTCCAAGGGCCCACTTTACATAATGAAGAACTACTGACTAGAGCAAAGCATATTGCAGAAATAATTCTAGTATGAAAATATCTCAAAAATAGGCATTGTATTTTCTGAAATATGTAAACCATACCTTCAGAAACAATGTCAAGGGAGAAATAAATTTCTTCATCAATGTAGACAGTGTTTGCACTTACAGCGGTAACATAAGCCTTCATAACTCTGGTTTCAAGGTATGATGGTTCCAAGTCATCAATATTATCAGGAAGAACTTGTACCTGTCAGATAAGAAAACAGTTACTTCCAGGATAAAACTTTATAATGGACATTTCTATTCTTAAATCACTGGAGTGCAAGAATTATTTTAAATGACCACTCTGAACTACAGTGAATATATTTCAACTCAAAAATAGATCATAGTCCTGAGATGATAGTAAAAATAATTCCAGTATTTTATGTGTTCTTAAGGTGCACCAGAAAACCTGAATTGCTTACCCATGTTTAATGATTTCATAGTGCACTCTACAATAAAAACTGTGTCACGTTTCTACTCTAGAATTTAACAATTTTATGATGGCAAAGGGAAAAAAATATCTACTTCTAACTTGTGATAGAGGGTATGAAACAAATTCAAAAAGGTTTCTCTGAATTCTCAATAATAAGTAGATTCAGGCTGAGGCGAAAATAGAGGCATTACTTGGAAGAACTAAGATTTGAGCTGAGATATGAAAGGAGAGAAAGAGTTTACCTGCTGCCAAATGGGAGTCACATGAAGGCAGGAGAAGGGAGACAGAGAAGAAAACCAAGCACAAACTTGGGGAATATCAAACAAAGCCTTAGCACTGAAGATACAGTCCCAGAGGAAGATGCAAGGGGAAAGCTGAAACAATAACCTCGAATGAAGAGGGCTTAAAAAGTCTAAGTCAAAATTAGGACTGTGAAGATAAGAATTATACAGAAAACATGCCACTATATTAAATGAAGACCAAAGACATTATGAAAGAAGAAAAATAGGTTTCAGGAAGTCTGCTATCAAATCTTACCTGTTGTTTGCAGTATTGCCCTTCAAAGACGCATTTTTGTCATCATTGACACTTGTAGCAGCCCCTGAATGGCTGGGCACACACCTTCCTGACACCAAGAGGGGACCATTTTTCTCTTGCCAGAAAACTACCCCAGGTATCTTCAGCTTTTATGCAATCCTGTCCTACCATCCATTTCCCTTAGAAGTTCCTCTGTGACCTTTAATCAGTGTGAACTCCTTCCAAACCACTTATTACACTTATTGGGGCTTTAAATTTTTTTTCTATTCAAAGTAATTTCCTTCACCCATACAGCTACCATATGCTGGAACACGACAATGCAATGCTAATTGCACATTATGTTGAGATCTCAAGCATATGCGATGGTTTCTCATCACTCCTCTCAGCGCCTGGTGTTGCTGAGATCGGGCTGCATGCCCACGGGTTTAACTGTTATTCTGTGGTAACTTTGTAAGAATAGTAAGCTCCTTTCTCTTTATAACCTTTTCCTTGAGGTTGTACTTCTTTTAAAATAAGTTCTCATAAAATTGTTGCACTCTTATTATCATTTATTGAAAGCAGATATTATTTTAAGATAACCTTAATTTCTCAGATTTGCAAAGACTTCAGAAACCTGTCCTTGTGAGCATCTGAAAAGAGGCCATGTCACAGGTGCTGAGAGAATCTTTTACTACAATGAAACTAAAAAATAATTTGATAATTGACGTTGAAATGATAAATATTTGGACTGGGATATTTACAGGACTCTGTAAATGTACAAAAAGTCATTCAACTATACTCTTGAGAGAATTCTTTGGCATGTAAATTGTATCACCATAAAGAAATTTTGAATATGTTTAAAATACACATTGCTGGACATATCAATTCCACCACTATGAATGGATTGAACAGAAAATATCTTATTACCTGATAAAAGGATGTTACAGGACTATATAGAATCCAAATATTATCATGGTCAACCTTTTTATAAAAAGTAAGAGAACAGATATATAAATTTCAAGCTTAAAATCAGAAAACACCACAAATATTAAAACAATAGCCTGCACTGTCAGGACACTGGGATTTCTAATTTCATTCTACATATATTCTAAAGATGGCATTAGAAAGATGGGATTAAGACAAAAAGAGAGTGTAGTGACAATGCAGAAACTCATCCAGATCTTACTTTGACTGCTTTCAATTCTTGAAATATTTCACCTCCTTCCATAAGTGCCACAACTTTTTGTCCAACTTTTAGAGGCATATTGTCAGCGACAATATCAGAGGTAAAGTAGATCCACTCATTGATGAAGCCATAATCACCACATAAATTTGTTACAATTCCCTGTATACTCCTCAACTGGATGTCGGCTATGAGATAGGAAAAGAAAGGTTATATTAGTAATCTAATGGCCCATAATACAGTACGTCACTGACATCTGTGGAACCCTGGGCATATTTCTGAACTTCTCTGGTACTGCTTTCAGCTATCAAACTAGGACAGTGACAATTTCTGCTCAACAGCGTTGTTGTGACTGTTGACTCAAATATCAGCTATTTAGACTGTGAGTGCCCTGAATGAATTAGAGTGCAAAGGTGACTTGATATCACCATATATGCATATGAGAGTCTTAAAGCTTTCACTATTATTAACTGCCATCATCATTTTCAAAATTATGAGCAACAACACCTATATTCTCAAATTTATCTTACCGTACAAAGTAGAAAGATGTACCTGGATATGTAATGTTAGCCCCAAACCATATCTAAATTTTTCTCTCTCACTTTTTATTAATTCTTCAGGAGTACTGGTTATATACAGCATCTGACTGTAGCAGTCCACCT